CGGGATGACTTTGGTCAGTTCATCCAAGAATAATTGCGCCTTCTCCGCCTATTCGAACATGAGAACGATGTCGTCTGCATATTCCAGATCGACAAGGTTTTCTTCACTGGCTATTTGAATACCAGGGTTTTGGAGACCCACCAGCGTTCGTCTCATTATTTCATCGATCACAAAGTTAAAAAGGAATGGGGAGAGTGGGCATGCCTGACGGATACCTCTTTGTGTATGGAGGCTTTTGGAGAGCTCTCCGTACACTCACACGTCCAGAAGTCTGAGAATACAAAGAACGTATTATGTTTACAAACTTCCCGGGTATTCCTTCGTGGGCAACATCTCAAGAAACTTCCCGGGTATTCCTTCGTGGGCAAGCATCTCAAGAAGAACAGACCGATCAACCGTGTCGAATGCGCCTCGGAAATCCAGGAATACTAGAATTGTGGGTCGCTTATACGTATGGCGTTGTTCTAGCACCTGACGAAGTGTGAAGATTTGGTCAACACAACCCCTACCAGGCCGGAATCCCGCTTGCTGCTTTCGAGTCAGAGTCTCGCGAGCCACCGTAAGGCGACGAAGCACAATTGACGCCAACAGTATCGTTACAACCGGGGTCAAGCTGATCAAACTGTGGTCACCACACTCACTACGCGCCCCTTTTTTGAAAACGGGCACTATTACCGATTCTCCCCAGTTGTCTGGGACAGGCTTTTTTTCGCAATCGCAAACAAACAGATCGGACAAGCGTGACTGGGGAACTTCAGCCCCGTCTTTCAACAATGTGGGTAGGATGTCTCTAACTTGCATGCAGTGTGGTGAAGCACCTAAATCGCCTGCTACGCGCCCCTTTTTTGAAAACGGGCACTATTACCGATTCTCCCCAGTTGTCTGGGACAGGCTTTTTTTCGCAATCGCAAACAAACAGATCGGACAAGCGCTGACTGGGGACTTCAGCCCCGTCTTTGAACAGTGCGGGTGGAAGGTCACCCGGACCAGGAGCTCGGTGGCGCTTGAGAGGACAGACTACGATTCATTGACCAGATCCTCGATCGCATAATATAGGCTTTATTTCAAAACACATCACGGTAAGCAACGAAAGAAAGATGGTAAGATAGCACTTCTCATGTGTAGATAACAGCTTTATCCGATTTATTCAAAACGGCAGGCCAATTTGGTCAGTAAGATAGAAACAGAGAAGCATTCTATAACATTGACGCTGCCTAAAGCGCGACAGGCTTTTTAAAATGAAGAGTTCGATAAAATCTACCCAGCTCTCGTTATCCTTAAGATGGCAGTGTCAAACTGAATAAAACACTATCTAATGAAATGAAATTGTATATGCAATCAACCATAAAAAGATCTAGTTCTCGAACCTCGAATGAATAGCCCTCCTGCTACAGTAAGGTATTAAATAAAGAGCCGTCGGAAATGCAGCGTTGCTACAGGTTTACGAGCAATAAACTGCACTGAGATCCACGATTACGAACACCAGAGTATTGCGGTTGACTAGATAAATGGTTGCAACCAACAGAATGGACTCACGAATATCTTGCTGTGGTTAACGTGAGAGGTTGAACCTATATCCCGCCTTTATTGAACACGGATTAAGGAACCGCTATGCTTAACGCTGTCCGGTGTTACCGTTAATCTTTCTACCAAAAACATGACTCACTCACAAACACATGGCAGAAGTACTCAGAATACCCAATGTTGGACTTCCATTTATGATGATGTGCAAGGAATTAGCTGTTCCTCCGAAGACTGTCACTAACACAAAGCGCTCAACTAAGGTACTTTTTAGGTGCATACCTGCCACACGGCCCAAGAAAATTACGAGGAACTCGAATAGCACGAAAATGCCAGAAACTATATTTGGTGAACGGAAAAGCTAAGGCTGAATTCATACTTCATTCCCATTTTACTCCTACATGTCAAGCAAAAGCTCTCAATGACGCACACTGGGTCAAAACCAGAGGACAAGTACTACTTCCAGCATCGCCGTGGAATTGTCAACGAATGTTCGAACAAACATAATATCCTCAGGAAAATACGAAAATACTAATACAAGACAGACCAGTGCGAACAGGCCGAATAAAACAAACCTTTTCCGGGGACAAGAAGCTCAACTGGAACACGAACTGGAGAGCAGCGACCAAATTTTTCTTTGTTTCCTAACAGACAAATGATGAACAAAAGCCATCACACAAAAGGCATACCTTGAGGTAGTCAAAATAGTGCAGGAGGAACAAGCGGACCTGATCGGGACGACTCATGAGTAAGAAATGAAATCCGTGTTTCGTGATTCCGACAGGTGTATCAGGTGTTCCACTGGGTGTATATAACGGACGGATGAGAGACAAACTAAGTGATTATTACCCTTTCATCAAATTGGACAACAGAAGAACGTCTTGCACGACCGATCCAACTTCAGAAGATTCAGACCCAACCATGAAATGTAAGAGGGACTACAGAATCATTGAAGAAGAAAACAAACGCGACGTACGTCCCAGCGTTCTGCAGCATAGGTTTCTAAGAAGCCCACGTCTTTCGAGTATTTATCCACCGTAGTCGAACCCAAATCTCCAAGCAATGATTTTCCACTGAAAAGTTACACAAGGGATAATGATCAGTACTTACCCGCCAAATAAAGAAATGCGAAGAGACTCTTGATACTTTTTGCTCAAACACCAGGCTCCTCTGGCGACATTCCCATCAACCGAATGCCATATGCGCAAATCCGATAGTGCCCTACAGGCGTCTTGCAACAGTGCCTGAGAACCTTTTTCCACCCAACCAGAAACAATGGATTTGGGGATCGGTTGCTCAACAAAGAGAAGCCGCGCGACAAAGTGTTTTGCTAACTCTGGTAGTTCGCGAAATATTACCAGACACGTGGGTGGATGAGAGAATAACTCATCCAACAGCAAAATATCCACGTTCCGGATGTATTCGAAAATTGATGCTGCTTTTGGTTCATTCATTAGAAAGTGGAAAACAGTAGTGTGCACTGCACACTGAATGGAGAGTGAACTTATTCTGAAAGTGCAAAAGAATACGTAAATGTATGACACCGTAATGAACCAAGCAAAAACAGCATCCGGTTTATGGCTCTTGTCAGCCCAAACAAATGTGTTTACCCATAGAATTGAGAACACTTTTGGTCAGGCACTGCAGCGCAGTTGAGCGAAAAGTGAGAAGCAGTGTACTGGAAAGACTGTACGAGGTAACTAAGACCGAAAGCAGGATAAGCAGTTGTGTACAGAGTGCAGATGGGAGCCAAAACCAATGACATTCATGAAGGACGCGTAAAATTTAAGTAAACACATCTGTATAAACGCAACGACAATTCGAAAAAGGCAAATAGTCATAATTTTAAAGGTAATCTAAACGTTATGACGAAAATTTTCTTTTGGGAGGCCGACGGATGCCGATTTCGACGAAAAATAACTGACGTCCAGAAGATAAACATGCATATACAACCAGCACAAGTAAAAAGTTCAAAGGATGAAGACACCATCTCTAGTATTCTTTAGTATGATGTGCCTAAATGAGTGAACCGATCTCCTACTAGACTTCCACTAGAGGCCAGGGGTTAGCGCACCAATTTGGGTATCTGGAGTACTGTGAAAAACTTACTACTCTCATGACAAAATACCAGATAACTGACCAATTCGGAACGTATCTGCTTTCCTGATGATGAATCCGCGTCCCGAAAAGACGATAGGGCACTGTGCAGGTACCCAGTTGCCATATAAGATAACCGATGTCCGTTTAGCTGTATCACGCTCTAGTTGCCTAGATGCCACGCCACCCGAAGGAAGCACGAGGTTTGGGATACTGCCAGGCTTCTCAAGCCTGGGGTTCAAAATTGGGACTTTCCGGTCAGCCAATTCCCTGCCTAACCACTGAGTCACACATTCTTATGCTGTATACTTGTTCTATTTTCTTCATCGTTGATTACTAAGTCACCTTTTCTCGTTTCAGTTCACGGTGAGTTTTGGATGAATAAAACTTAGCTTCTGGGCTCTTAGTCTTTTTTGTTCTTATTTTGGTTGTCGCCGCTCACCACCCCTCGTCGAACACAATTTATTATTCCAAAGATTTTCATCGAACAATAAATCGATTCTTGTGCCCTGAACGGTTCGATACCGATCCCAATACGCAAGATATCTGGGAACACCGGTTTTTCACTTTAGTGAAAGTCCTAGAGTCAGTTGCTTCCCATTCACCAGATAGGCTGAAAATCTTGTTCAGCTGAGTTTTTCCTAAGTCTTATTGCTCTATCAAAGACAGTCAGTATTATGAATAAGCTATTGCAACCTTGTGAGAAATTCATATGCAACCGAAAAATGAAATTCTGTAGCCAAAACGGAGATCAGAAACTTGATCAATTTGTGCAAAGGCTTCGCAGTTTTTCTATAGATATTCTGTTCACCCACGTTGTGAACGCCCCGCAAAAGACGCGACCCTCAAAATCTGTGAAAATAAAGGACGTCTTCAAAAAGCATGCAGATCTACTACTGGTCCGAATGTTAAAACTCATCTGCTTCAAGTGCACCATCTTGCGTCAAGCTGCGTCCACCGACTGTCCCAAAGAATCAGTCAACGATGTGGAAACCGATGAAATTCCACTTTGAGCTTTTCTTGATACTGGTATCCCAGAAAGCTTCAGTTCCGAAAGTGTAGTCCGTCGAAACCACCGCCAACTGAGACCAATTTGACATCCATCCAGCACAAAATTTTACTCCTCGACGTTATTTTTAACATTTCAAAAAGTAAAACATGTATCCCTTTTTTAAGTTTTCAGTATTACGTTACCTCTGTGTGGATGCTGCTCGGCGGATTTCCACACAAATGCCGTTCTACCGCTCGCAGTTAGACGCTGCCACGGCCGAGACGCCCATGCTGCACAAGATTGGCCAAAACTCTTAACTACCTGCCGGTCCGGCAGAAGGCGAGCTCTGATTTGTCAAAATCTTGGATCAGACAACCAATAATGACCAAGTATCTGTCGAATGCCGGTAGCCAGTAATGCATCCAGGTGTCAGAATTTCCAGTGTTGTTGTGGCATATACTTCATATACAACGTGTTGTACGACTGTTCTTGGCCTGATTTTGTGCATCACGGGTTCACAGAATGATACGCAGGATGAAGGCTTTCGCCCAAGTTTCCCGGGTCGCTTTTGTTCTTATCGGTCAGTGGCTGTCGTTCACCTGAAAGGCACGGGTGAAAAAAGGTTGTAGCACTGTTCTTTATGTTCTCAGCGCGCGGCAGTATGCTTGCCAGCGCGAGAATTCACATAAATGAATGTCTAATAGTGCTTTAATCTGGGTTCTAGAAGGAGCGTGAACAACCGACGGAGGAAAGTAATTCCAAGCAGCTGCTACCCAAAATGAGAAAAAATTTTGTCTAATGAATGTGTGCTCTGAGCTTGAAAATGTTCTTACTATGTCCCCGCCGTGTTCGCCGGGTGAACGCTAAAAAACCTGTTTGCCAAGCTTTGTAAAGTAAAGTAAAGCCATAAGGCCCAATAGCAGATGAAATCAAAGATCAGCACACAGTGGTCGCTATGTCCCAGTGGAGCGTTAATTGTTACCTGATCAACGAAGTGTCTTTCGTTGGTGATGACCAAATCCAGGAGGGATGGTAGTTGGCCTGCGCGCTGGAGCTCAATCCAGGAGGCCTTTTGGGCGTTGAAGTCACCTACCAGCAGAGGATGTGTGAAGTGGTAGTTGGAGGAGAGTTGCTCAAGAGTTTGTGTGAGGGATTGGTCATCTTCAGGGGACTCGAAGGGCTACTGTTGTGTCTCACTACCTCAAGCAGGCTAGAACCAGAAGATACCGCACTCGTAACGTTTGCCTTGAAATCGGAATTAAACTATGTAGTCCTGAAGCGGTTTACTTTCTTCTGGTGGCTGGCAACGGGATCCAGCAGACTACTGGCCACAATTCTGCTCTGGGCGGGTCATCCAATACCCTCACGATCAGGGGGCGTATACCTACTGAAAAGACGAACTGAGAACTTCTCCAACCAGCGTAAAGCTGGTTGCTTTCGTTTTCGGAAAGCGTTTTCACCCCAACAGTGCTACAACCAGCCGTCCCGGATCAGCTCCACGAACGGCACCTGAAAACAACCAGGATAAAATCCTTTGCTCGGAGTTACGTCTACTGGCTCTTGATGGACTCACGGATTGATCAAATCTCAAAACCTGCCTGCGGCGTGGTGAAACATCCGAAGTTCCGGTGAAAACCTACTTCGGTCATGGCCGCAAACAGCCAAACTCGGGTATCGTCTTTGCATCGACCATGCGGGTGGCCAATTTCTTCGCTGTAATCGACGCCTACATCAAATGTCCGTATTTTTTCCGGTGAAGGCCCGACAATATGCCACAGAAATTCGGTAACTCTAGCCATTATTCAGTCATTTTGGAACAGTAGGGACCATTGTATTCAAAAACCGCAGTCGGTTCGTATGGTCGGCGTTCGCAGATCTCCATACGTCGCCGTTTCATCTACTGTCAAACGACCAGGCGGAAAGCATCCCTGAAACACTGAAGCTTGCCCTTCGGAAAAGTGTAGGTGAGGAACCAATGAAAGGGATCTTGCAAAGTTTCCCGCCAGCCTATCGAGCGACGCGAAGCACTAAGTCACCCGATGGAGTTTCACCATCCGGGGCTCTGCTTCGCAAAAAGCTCAAAATATTGCACGACACCATGCGGCAACACCATACGGCAGTTTGGTCACCGCAACCACGAATGGAGGAACAGTTCAACCGGTATCATGAAGCAACCACTCGCTCTTTCAGGGAAGGTCAGTGAGTGTTCGTTTGCGACTACGGCGGTGGACGGCTTACGTGGACTCCAGGACACTTACTTCGCCGGCACGGCAGAGTGCTCTAAGAGCCCAGCCGTGTAGACTCGGCACCCCAAACAAATCCGGACAGCAGATGTTCAGATCCTGCCTTCAGCACCGTACGATTTGAGTCCAGATATGTTTCTGGACATATGCCGATCTCACATCATTCCAGAAAATCAACCATCCGCTCCATCGTTGGCGCAGCTTCAACACGCATTACAACCGCGACGCTGAACAAACAGAATCCGCAAACGAGTGAAGCCACTACTGTAGAAGGCAGCTTGCCAACAGTATGCTCCCGTTTCCAACCCCAAGTGACAGCCAATCCTCATATTTATTCCCCTTGACCAGATGAACTGAAACCTCCTTGTTTTACTGAACTATTTTTATGACTCTCACGTACTTTGGTTGGACATTGTGATTTTTGCGGTTGCTCGCCGTCGATATCTGTTTGGTTGTGACGATATCGATTTTGAGGCGTAGTGATCTGCGCTTTATCCTCAGGCTGGTAATTGTACCGCCTTATCTTTGTAAACCTACGATATCTGCAGAGGAGAATCCGTTGAGGTTTGTTGAATATGTATATTATTATATTTGCAATTGTACCGTGATTCCACAATTCGGATTTTTTGGTCGTTTTCCTGGATTGGCACGCATGACTCAAACTCAGAAAGCAGATAGCCGTAACAACTACTACTAATTGTCAGCTTTGAATCAAGTGAATTCAATGCTGAAGTGTAAGCGGATTTCCACGCAGATACCGCCTTACCGCCAACAACTGGGCGCTGCTACGACCGAAAATCTGTGAAGCGAGCTCTGATTGGCCGGAGGCCTGGACCCAAGAGCCAATCATGATTCAGTGTTCGTCGAATGCCGGTTGGCAATGGCGCGTTCAGGTGTCACGACTTCCAGTGTTTTCACGGCAGACACTTCATACACAACGCGCTGTACAAGGGTTCTCGACCTGATTTTCTGCGTTAACAATCATTATGCACATTTGGCGGTTGGTTTTCACTAGAACACTAGGTTGGGAGATTCAGACCGAGCTTAGGAAAATACGTTAACTGCAGATAGTCTACTAGGATATGATTTTCTTAAGCTTCATAAATTCCTGATATTCTCATTCAACCCCGATAACACCTTCTGGCTGCCAAAGCATAACGTTTCACTTTGTTTAGGCATCTTCATCCAAAGTGTGGCACCACTGCCACAAAATCCAGACGTTCTGTAGACCACGAGGATTCCATTACTTCCGAAGTTAGAATATTTCACTGAGAGCACAAAGGCTGCATAGAAATCGCAACTGCTTGTCACAGCAAATGGGCGGCAGAAGAACCGAATTGTTGTTGATTATGGTCAAATTGTAAAACAGCTTACACCGGGACCATCGTCCGCTCGACAAACTTGAGGATATGAGTGGCGAAGTAGCTCAATGTGGTATATTCAGCACGCTTGATCTTGAAAGTGGGCATCGTCAAATACCTGTTAGGGAAAGTGACGACTTATACATGGCTTTTAAGGCTTGCAATTATAGCGTTTATTAGTTTCGATGAATAAGTTTCGGAGTACTAATTGGGTTGGCATGTTTTTAAAAGGTAATTGATGACATAACACACCGGGACATACGCCTATATGGACAGTGCCACTATTTGTAAAAAAATATCAAGAAAAACACGACAAAATTCCCCAGCGTTTTCCCACTCAAAAGTTTAGTCTTTAGCTAAATCACGATAAAAGCACAATTTTCACCACTTAGCCCAAACTCGTTGACTGTTAAAATACTGAGGATATCACCAACTCAGACCACGAAATTTTCAGTGTCTTGCAGGAACTGACGGTTTCGAAGGACATGGAGTCTCAACAACCACTAAGTGGCTTGTCCGTGTACTATTCTCGTTGGATAAGCTATGTCTGATGAAATCTACGCAATCATTAACAATACAATCTTTCCAGTCCCAAATTTTGTTACGAGTGTGTTGGGAAGTTTCAAAAACCATTTGGCGGATGCACCCGTCATACTAAAAAACGATGCGTCTAATGTTGCGATTTCCCACACACTTAATTAAGCTGGCAGACATATAGTATTTTTCTCATGTAAGCCATTGCTAGAAGTCATTGTTCTAACGTGAAAGAAACGTGCACAACTGTCGAAGCAGTGCGGAAATGGAAACATTAGCTACTCTGGACCCACCTCAAGATTGTAACCGGCCTTTCCGTTCATGTATTAAACCTAACACAAAGGGACAATAGAAATGGCAAAACCCAACGATGACGGATTGAGGTATCACCTTTTCTCTTTTGGCGTAGCCTACAGACCAGGCATCGGAAACAAATCCGCTGGCACACTCTCTCGGAGCGTCTGTGAGAATAATTCATCCCAACTGGGTCTAGAACGCCTGCAAGCAACTTTGTGCCATTCTGGAGCAACACACGGGATTTATTTTGTTGGCGCTGAAAATTTGCTCTTCTTCCTAGGGGACATCCAACTTGTCATTAAGCAATATAATGTGTGTAAGGATTTGAAAATCACCTTCTTTTAAGCCATCTGGTTGTACAGTCATTTAATCCACAAAAACGTTCCACATTTTTAGCATAAATTCCAAAGGACCACTACCTTCGACGCCTCGAAATGAGCATCTGCTATCCGTTGTAGACGGATATTCCCGTATTTTTCGTTCGCCAATCCTTGTTCAGACATGCGTTCCTTTAAGGTGATATCATGTCTTGCGTCGCCCCTTGCTGCATTTGATCTACCTAGTTTCGTTCATTCGAATAGCGCCTCATCATTCGGTTCCGATGAGATTCAGTGATTCCTCCACGAAAAAGACCATGCCACCTGTCGGAGGATTCCATACATCCCGAGGGAGAACAACAAGGTGGAACGGTTCAATGGACTTTGCGATCAAAAGGTCTTCGAATCAGTCATTGGGGAACCGTTTCACAAGATGCTCTGCATTCGATTGGTTGTTTGTTGTGCACCGCCACGATTGCCACTCCATACGAGCGAACGTTTTATCATAATCGAAAACCAATTGTCCGCACGTCGTTGCCGTAGTGCTTGCCTTCTCCAGGAACAGGTCTGATGCGGCGATATACACGGTCTTCTAAATGTGACCGCACAGTGGAATAGGTTGAGTTCCTGCAATGTAATCCGGAGTACCCGTATGTCCAGTACCCTAACG